AAAGTTGGAACATATCCTCACAGAGGGAAAGAGCAAGAGCTAATTGATGAAGCCTCCAGATGCTACCTCCACATAGTTGAACTCTCGTAAACGAACCGAGAAGGCTCTGGAATTCAGAACGTTTGCTGATGGAAGTTATTTAACTCAAGTATCGACAATAAGACAAGCGCTCAGGTCGGTGTTGATGTTCCGACAGAATCTAACTGGCAGATAAAATTATTGAATGGAAGATCAGGCATCAGAAGAGTGGCAGTTGAAGTAAAAACAGTCAAAAGCTTTTACTTCATTACAGGTCTAAGCGCTCAGTTTAGAGCGAGAATATTAATCGTTCTTGGAGGAAATATAAGGCAGTGTGTACGAAGTGTTAAGTCGCAATTAATGATCCAAATGAATGCATTCAATACGCACATCTGAGCAAACAGTGAAAAGTGCAAAAGCGTGATTGCAAAGAACGACCACTGAGACCTCATCAATAAAGACGAAGTTGCTGCCGTAATTGGCAAACAACGCACCGTCTGTTATGAACACCTCCTTATAGCATCGAAACGTGCCTGAGTACACTTGGCTTAGAAAGGTTTCCGAACAGATGTCGATGATCAGTCTCATAATTGTCTCATCTGACTTGCTCATCTGACGCTCCATAATGGATGTTCGTCTTAAGGAAGGGGCAGAGCTGTCAACCGATCACCAGCTTATTGCTGGTGTGCCACGCTGTGAAAAATGGAGTACCGATGGAGTACGCAGCGAATTCGAAAAAGAAACAAACAACATAGCACCACAGTTTCAACGGAGCCCAGCGATGACCGTTGATTGGGAAACCGAGCGGAAGATCTTTAAAAGCAGCTTACTCGGGACTGCCGCCAAATGATGCGGATTCAAACGGATTGGCCTGCCGCCTGAAGGTCAGAAACCAAATTCGTGGCTACAAGAGAGGCATAAGTATCCATCGCTAAGAAGGCTACACTCAGGAAACAGCTAACAAGCAAAGCGTCTTCAACTCATAAGCGATATATAGAAGGTGGCAGCGCGCAAGGTGGCAGCAAAAGCAGTGGCGAAAGCCAAAGCTGATTTTTGGGAGAAGTTCGGTGAGATATAGGAGTCGAATTTCTAACGGGAATCCAGACGTCAGTATATTGTCACACCATCAACTGGCTTCGAGGTGAAAAGAAGGGCAGTCTAAAAGTCTAGAAGGACAGGACTGGACACCCTCTTACGGAGGATAAGAACATTCCTCGGCGATGGATAGAATACTTTGAGGTAGAGCAACCGCAGGAGGACTCGCCGCTAGAACAATAGGGAACAGATATCCCTGTAAATGAAATCATTTAAGCTGTGAAAACCTTGAAAAGTGGAAAGGCTCCTGGAATTGATGAA